AGAAGAGCTCATCAAAACATTTTGATAAAATGGAAACATTTTTTGATGATACAAGTACAAAATTTAGAAGAATCATCTGAAACAAAATGGAGAGTGCACTTCAGTTTTGACCCCGTTTCATTCTGACTTGGTATTTAAAAAAAAACAAAACCTGCTTCAGCCTAAGCTGTCAGCAAGTTCTCTAAGATGAAATGTCTGTGGCACTGCAATTGCCTAGTAGCTTGATACTGCTTTCTGGTGATTTCCACTGTGATTTATGCAAAATCTCATTCAACTGCAAAGGTGGCACGAATTACTGAATTGTCTCACCTCAGGAAATGAATGACTGGACACTACTCTTATCTGATTTAGGTCTAATTCTGCCTACCAAAACAAAATCCCACATTTCTTATAGCAATCCTATTCAAAAAGCAGCTTCAATATGGGAGAGGATCTACTACCTGCCAGTTGTGACATGGAACAAGAGGAAGAGCATCTCGGAGGGAATGAGGGAAGGAAGGTACCAGGAAGACAGGAACACCACAAGTTCTCATTTCCATATGACTTCGTGGACATCCTTCCATCTGAATGAGGATGCTATAATAATATCATGAACCTGGTTGTGAATGCTCCAGGAGGGGGGGTGGGAGCTGGGGGGGATGACAAACAAAAAACCCCAAATATTCTAACATATTCTCTGTGCATCTTTAATTCTGCATGGTTATCATTATGTACATGACAAAGGACAGAGTGGAACACCAAATGCTGCTAAAACAAGTTCTATAAATTAAATCTTGATCTTTCCTTCTTACATTGAACAATCTGAGTCCAGATTACATTATCTGAGTGAAGAATCCACTCTCTCACTAGACTAAAGTCTTCTTGATTCCACCCAAAATGGCTGCAGAAAGATGGCTAGAATAGCTTGTTTGCCGATTTGTGGAAAGTGCTGGATTGCATATCGTATTGAAATAAAAGCAGTACGGTAGTTCCATGTCCTGCAATTACACGTCAACAAGTCTTCCTAGAAATACAGCCCAGAAATAACTGCACATCAGGTGTCAAATAAGAAATCAGTGCAGACCAAATTCAGGATCACAGAAAAAAAAAAAAAAAAGAAGACAGTTGCAAATATTAAACAACAAATCACTACTGCGTTTGTTTTGTAAGAGGGTTTTTTTGATTTTTTTTCTTAGATATAGATTTGATTTTTTTTCTTATAAATGGAGAGTCAGAGAACTGCCCAAGGCCTTGCTTCTTGCAGTTAAAACACCTGATGCTGGTTATTGTTGGACATTAGAGAAGCAGAACATTTCAACATACTGAAGGGTTCCAGTGTCTTGACCAGGTCCTGTAAATTGTCAAACAGTAACTTTTGAGCAAGTTATATGTGTCCCTGAACTCCTAGCCTGGCGTCAGGTCTGGAGGTTTGGGCATACAGGTTTTTTTGCTAACTGACTGCCTCTCTTCGCTCAAAATAACTTACATTTTCAATGAACATTTTCCATCTCCACAAGCTACACTCCAGGAATGGCTCAGAAAAGCCCATTTGTTGAGCAAAAGATGGAGTTATACTTAGCAGAGAACTCCCATTTTCAGAAGAATCTCAGATTTTAATTTTTTTTTTTTTTTTAGAATGTGAGTTAATTTAGTTTTTAATCCATGCAAACTATGAAGATCATCTTCTAAGTATGACCTGGCTATGAGCTGAGATCGTACTATAATGGGAGATTTGCCAGAGGGTAGCAGCAATAACTGCTTTTCGGAAGGAAAGTGGGGTAGGATTCTCCAAAGGCTCCGAGTCTTTTACCTGCTGCAAGAGGGTATCAGTGAGATGACATGTTAAATCATGCATGGCACGGATATCTAGTAAGCACCACTACTCCACCTTCTGCATGTGTCCCAAACATGCAGCTTTCAGAGCCCAAAAAGCAGTTTGCGTCAAGGTGGCTGGAAACCTCTAGTGCCTCTAAGGCAGCCCTGGAGGTGCTTTCAAGCAGCACCACCCAAGAGGTCAGAGGGTTTGTTGTTAGTTTTCTTCATAACAGCTGTAAGCCATGATCCAGAAACACTGATGCACACTATTTCTGTCATCCCAGTAGAAAGCTGTGTCCTTTTCGTCACCATACAAAAGGGATCTTCATACGAGACAAGGGTACCAACTTCTTAGAGCAAGGCAGTCATATTTCAGAAGCAGAGGCAGCACCACCCCATGATTAGCATCTACGAACCATTACTCAGGCATAATATTTGGGTTTAGGGTTCAGCCGCTACCTTCATACCATCAACAGATACCTAAGCTATGAGGACAAAATCACAAACAGTTACTATGCACATGCAGTTTTTATGACACAATATTTTATTGTCCCATTACTTTATCAGGAAACCTGGCAAGGCTGCACTGCATTCCTAAGTCCTACGGGGTTTAAAAAAAGCAAACCCCAAACGAAAACCCCAAAGCGTTGTTGCTGACCACAACCAACAACTACACATAACTCAGGTTAGTAAAAGGACACGTTCTATGCGACGCAAGGTATCTAACATCTACCCTGCAGGCAGAAAGTTCCTATTCTTTCAGTATCGATTTCCTCAATATTTATTTTCCTTAGCAGCTTCAGACTGCTTCTGAATCAGTTTTCACAACAAAGGACGAGAGCTCACCGCCTTTTTAGAATAGCTCTGAACACCAAGACTACGGGATTACATCAGTGCTCATCTTGGCAAAGATACTATGTGCATCATTAAACAGGGATTTTCCACTTTGATAACCCTGTGCCGGCATTTGAGCCCACGCACTTCTAATGAGTTTCTCATTACGGTTTTATCCAGTTTTTGACTGTATTATTTTTCTTGTTCCCATCAGAGATTACAAAGAAATGACCATTTACTTGAGATGCTGTTATATGAGAAGAGTATGGTACAAAAACAAAGCGCAAGCAAAAATGCTGGTTGTCGCAGATCGGTGTAACAAAAATAATCTCCTTATGGAGAGAATTGTTATAGTTTGGTCAATTTTAAAAACTGTTTCCACAAAATAGATCCCACAGAAGAAAAAGAATTAATATTAGTTTTCATTTGTCTTGAAAGTCCTCAATTTAAGGACATAGTTTAACAAGAGACATGAGGTACCTCTCCAGGTTTCAACTACATACCATATGTCCTGAGAAAACGTATTCTGGGTGCAAATCGTGTATACCTCCAAAGCTCACATTACCAACTCCCCAAAAGCATTAAATAATTCCTTAACTTAGAGTCTCTTTGGAAAATGTGTAATTTGTTTTATGTGTATTAACATAAGAAGGTAGTCTCGAAAGTTATCTCATTATAAAGAAAACGATTTTTACAGTCAGCCCTGTAAACATAAATTCTTGTTATTATCTAGGAATGAAACCCACCTTTGAAAATGAAGGCTGAAGAATGTAACCATATTGTCATTGTCACATGACTTTTGTTTTCTTAATGGCAAAAGAAAGGTAGCAATTACAATAAACTATTTGTTAATGTCTGTGATTTCATTTATGTAAACTAAGCAGTTAAATCCTTTCTTTTTATAAGATCCTCAGAAAATGGTAAAACCTAGGTTTATCAGAGTATAAAGAATTCGTCAGGTTCAAGGAAACCTCTAATTTACTTGGAAAACATAGGAATTATTCTGATGTTCTACAAACCACAGCAGTATCCCAGGCAATAAACCACTGTTGTTAAAAGGGCACAAGGCAACAGACAAAAGAAAAGAATTTGTAAAGGTCAACAAAACCAATACGGACAGGCAACTCCTTTCTTACTCTGTAAGACATTAATCATTAGAGGTGGACCAGTCCATACTAGCCATATCAGCTCTGACCTCCAGCTTCTCATCCAGTTCCCCTCTGCAGGTCACCCACAGCCCCAGAACAACCTAAAGGCGATAGCACACCCAAAACCCCCACCACCAACCATGGTGGCAAGAGCAACTGCTGCATCAGCAGATAAAGACAGAGGTGTGGTTATTGGTGTGCACCCTTCTTTGTACAGTGCCAGGGGTTATGCTGTGGTAACACACACCAGCCAAAAGAAGTGCCAAAGCATAGGGAAGAAGTAAAGGGCAGACCAGCTAGAGGACCTCAGCTTGGTCTAGCATCAGGTTTTTCTTCAGTGCTTACAAAAGTCATGGAGAGCCTGTTCTCCAGCTGTGTGGCTTGCTGCAGATTTTGACCTGTCCTGGAGGTACAAACAGTCAGAAACTTTCACAGGTGCTTCATTCCATCACTGTAATTCCTCTTTAACATCAATTAGCAAGAAACTCTCTATGTTGCCTTCAGGACCCTGGAAGGCAAGAGCAGACTGGCTCATTGTTTCAGCTTTGACTAACACAGTAAAATCCAGTCGATTGATCACCCCAGAGGAACTGATAATAAGAAATCATTATCCATCAGTAACTTACCTGCACACAAGCATGTAACCTTTACAGATATAATTTCATTCCATACTGAGGCACAGTAGAAGTTTATTCTCAAAATCTGTAATAATACAGTGTTTCTGCCATTATGAAATCCTGTGTGTAATTCGCACACTATCTAGTTCATGGTATGATTATACAGATTAATGCTTATGGTACACTTCGCTAGAAAATAATTCAGAGCACTCACTACTTAAGAACTACTGTAAATGCTTACAAAGGAGGAGTAAATTTATCAGATATTTTTGTTCTGTATTCTTAAATGCAGTCATCACCAAAACAGAAAAAAAATTGTGCCAAGCAGAAGAATTGATCACGTGTACCTTTCAGAACCAAAGAAACCTGAAAACTATACAAAGATTTGAGACTATCAGCTCCCTCACAAATGCTACGGAATATAACCAGATCACTCTATCACAGGCATTACTGTTGTTACTACCATAATTCAAGGTTTTTTGCACTGTTGCAATAGAATAGTTTCATCTGAGTAGATAAGGCAATAAGATTTGATGTTTAAAGACTTGCACTTCGAAGATGAACATAAAGTTCATGTGTACTAGAAAAGTAGAGCAATTTAGGGCTATTACAACATCCTCTTTAATGACACAATCAGTAATGACTTCAGTTTCAAGAAATTGCTGGACTGCCATAAAAAATATCTGATTTAAAAACATCTCTCAACCTAAAAAGCTTGGAAGTTTTTGGAAAAATAAAATCTTGAATTTCCTTTCATTCTGATCCAGTGTTTGGCCTCCTCTTCAGCTTAATCCAGATACCATTATTTGGACGAAGAATCAGTTCTCCAGTTATACCAAGCTCTTCTGGCTTTTGACATGAGTCCACCCAAAAGCGCCGCAGGATGAGGGCTAGAAGAGCTTTCTCCTCCATTTGTGCAAAGCGCTGACCTATGAGTTACAGGGCAGCAAAAGAAAAAAAGATGTTATTGTCAAGCTGCATCAACAGTTGCTGCATTTGCATGCTCACAGTGATACCCCTAGGAACACAGGACAGCAAGGACTGTGCATCTGCCCTAAGAACAGAATTGGCTTTAGGCCAAAATCGAGGCCATATGGGTACTACTGAAACTAGCACTTTTCTCTGCATGACAACTCTGGCCTTCCTGGGAGAATCCACAGCATGTCCTTCTTCTCATAGTACACAGAACTCAAACAGCAAAGAGGAAATAGTCAACACTTTACATGGAACTAGTACAAAACACAGCCTTGTCACATCTCTTGGATAAACTAGGCAGAGGGGAACAGATGACAGACCAGAGCAGGAGAAGATGCAGCACAAGGACTGCAAGGAGAGACAAATCCCACTGTTCCATATATGCAGAGAGGAGCAAAGGAGATACTACTGCAACAGAAAAACAGACAAACCTTCCTTCAGTGAACACTAAGCGTCACACCCACCAATGATTTGGTAGCACAGAGGGCAAAGTTCAATTTACATTTCAGAGAAAGGTCGAGGAGGAAAGGCGAGAACAGAGAAATATGAGGGAAACCAAACCAAGTGTCACAATTCCAGCACTTCACTCAAACTAAACTGAAAATGGGAACAGGACACAAACCCCAGTGCTCAAAACTTTTTCTGTGCTCCCCTCTGTATAATACGCACAGATGAATGTCTGTACACATGTACACAGTAATGGATTTCTGCAATGATATTAGTGAACCACCTCTCCTGCACATGTTCCTGTAAACCCAAGAACTAGCTAGCCATGTAATATTAAACTAGATTTCTCCTTGGAAGACGGGAAGACCTAGTCTGCTGTTCTTATGGGAAGGGCACCTATTCCCAACGAGACAAATTAAAAACAAACCAACCAATCAACTCCACCCTCCCCAAAAGAAAACCAACAAAACAAAAAACCCAGAAGAAGTTGTATTTCCTGTTCCTGTAAATGGCATAACAGCTGCTGAATGTTCCCCATCTGCACTTAAGATTAGTGCAGGGAACAGTCTTTTCATGTGTTCTACAATATAAACAACAATGCCTCTACTTTGAGCTCAGATAAATGCCAAGTGTCTCAATGGCACCTGAAGAGCTAACAAGTTCTGCGATGACAGTGAAAACACCAGAGCAACAATGGTGTCAGAAGGAGGGCAAGAATATATCATTTGCAGACTGCACGTTTGGGACACCCAGCTGAGATCATGAGACAGACAGATGAGATGTTTCCGGAACAAAACAAGTGCAGGACTTTTGCCTTCTCTTGCTCTGTCTTGCTGACACAGAGGATCAGAAATTTGGAAGCAAGCCTGTCCTAACACAGGAGCCCATTAACATGCTGCCAGGCTGCACAGGCAGTGAGGAGGAAACACCAGCATGATAGATACTGGCCCCTTGGAAGGAAGAAAATCCTTGGGAAGAAACAAAATGTGGCAGCTCAAGCACCAGCCTTGCAGGGGAGACAGTGCCCAGAATTCAGGGGCGGGGTGGTGGGTGGGGGGGTGAGGTCGGGACGGGACAAGACCAGCAGGCTCATGAAGGCTTAAATTTCTGATACACTTGCTGCCGCCACAGTTACCACACCAAAAGCACCACTGTCACGTTACAAGGGTTTCCTCTTCAGCCACATACCAATGCAGTTCCTGGGACCAGCTGAGAAGGGCACATAAGCATACGGGTGCCTTCCCTTACAATTTTCAGGGAAGAATCGCTCAGGCCTGAACTCCTCTGGGTCAGGGAAGATCTCGGGGTCTCTGTGCAGGGCATAAGTTATGACAATAACATTTATGCCTTTTGGTACCTGATATCCTCCTAAAGAGAAAAAGGGAGAAGTGTTGAAACAACAGCAAATAAATGACTTTCTATACGCAACAGCACGGTAAAAAAATAAAACAATGCTGCCCTTTACTTGGGAAACACCTCCACTGAGGAGCTGCTAGCAGGATAGGAATTGGCAAACACAGGACACTACTTACTAATACAGCAATCCTCTCTCAAGGCACGGGCAAACAACGGAACTGAAGGGAAGAGCCGAAGGGCTTCTTTCAGAACACACTCAAGGTATCGAAGGTTCTTCAAATCGTCCATTGTAACAGCACGCTCGCTGTTGCCTGTCCAAAAACAAATAGGGGGATGAGCAAGACCAAAACTCCCCATTTTTGGTTAAACAAACTCATCCCAGCTCCCTCCAGGAACTCTCATCACGCACCAAGACCACATAGGAGAATGTGCTACACCTACATTGAACACGCATGCCTTGCCCCAAAGCCATAAGGTCATCTGTACTCTCCTACAGACCTTCCAGCACACGTCCCAATCACCTCTATCTATTGAAAGCTCCAGGATGGCCACAAGACATGTTCCTACCTCCCCTTCTACGTCTATGCTTATAATGTACCACATTCCCACTCACAAATGCAACCACCACCACAACCCCAATGAAGGGGGTAATGGAAACATACCAAACACCTCATCCAGTTCTCTGTGAACCTTCTTCTGGGCTTCAGGATTATGTCCAAGTAAGTACAGGGCCCAGTTCATAGCAGCTGCTGTTGTATCATGGCCCTAGAGGTCCAGATTTATAAAGACATTCACTTCAACAACATTCCTGTCCACAAGTAGGCTTCATAAATACTCAGGTGTGCAGGTAGTATGGAAAGTTAGCCTTATTAGTCCCACGACCATGAGAAAAACAAAAATCAAGAGTGAAGAACTCTATCCGACATGTTGACTGTCAGCATGTAAGATGACCCATGATTTCTGTCAGGTGCCTGAAAACTGACCAAAAGGGAAGTGTTGAAATAACCCAAGCAAACATCCCTCTCCTCTGCCTCCTGGAAGCTGCAAGAACTATCAGTATCTACACAACAAAAAAGATATATATTCATCTTTTTGGTTACTGTCCAGTCAACAACAGAACATATGGGGCACCAGTGACTAACCACAGGAGAGATACAATGGACACAATGTGTGACCTTTACAAAACTATCCAAAAAAGAGTCTAACAAGACACAGTACAGTGGCCATAGGAGGGAATACTTCTTAGTTTCCTATGAGAAGGGGATCAGCTACTACAGTTCTCAGCACCACATAAAAACTTGGAAAGGAAAGGAAACAAAGGGAAGGGGAACAAAAAAAAACCCAGCAGTAATATGACTCTGAATTAAGCTCTTTTGAAACAGGTCCACCTAATGGAGGTGTGTGGAAAACTTGTGAAAGTCTTGGTTAGATCCTTCATTGGACAGGGAATCAGACATGAAAAGACAGTACACCAATGCACAGTTGACGACAGAACCAGGAGGTTACAGCCAATGTGGCAAGGAACAAAATGTGAGGAGAGCTGACAAATTGCAAGGCAAAACACTAAAACCATTTAGAGCTCTCTCTAGCATTAATGAGGTTTGCAACAGGAGCTGAAAGCCCACAGCCCACATCAGCCATTAAGCTCTTATTATTCATTTGCTTTCATGAGTAGAGCCTGAACACATAGGCAGGCCTGCCACATGTGTATTGCCCAATGTTTTGCCAGGACACACAATTCTGGATCAAATGTTTCTATCGTTCAGTAGTTTCTATCCTACAGAGATTCTCTCTTAGGCTTCCAGAGCTAAAACAACTTAATACCAAAAGCAACCTCCTGAACTAAGAAAAGGAAGAGTCACTACCTGCAAATAGTGAATCTCAGATTCTGGGATAACAAACAAAAAAAACCCCAACCAAACCAAAACAAAACCCAAACTAGCAGGTTCCTTGGGTACCTCAAACATGAAAGTATCCACTTCCTCACGAATGTCCCTGTAGCTCAGTTTGTTCCCTTCATCATCTGTTGCACTCAGCAGCATGTCCAGGAAAGCTTTTCTCTTTTTGGAGCCACCTTCTTCACAGTTGCCATCAGTATCACATTTCATTTGCTTGGTGTTCTCAAGTTCTGCAGCTTTTTCTGCAATGACCTGAGATTAGAACCATTACATTAGATAGGATGCATGCAGAACACATGCACAGTCTACATCACACAGGTTTGTCCTGACTTATTAGAACAATATCCACCGGTAGCAATCTACATGAGCTAGTTAGCATAGCTGTCAGCATTAGCTCATGAACTTTAACTGACTTTTTGTATTAGCAGGTGAAATATGACCAACCCCTCTTGTCCCAAGCAATAGAATGAACCTTGAATAGCCTTTGTGTGATCAAGAAAATAGCTAGCCAAACTATGCAAACAACTTGATGATCAAGAAGTGTAAACACATCCAGAATATCTGGAACAAGCCAATCATGAATGCCAAGGATAGGGACAGCAAATCAAAAAACATCACCACAATTTGAACAGACTGACCACCAAGAAGATATTCTCTACCCTATCCAATAACAAAGGAAACGATCACATCTCCAACCTCTGGGGAACCCAGGAGATTGAAGAGAAGCCAGGGCACCCACAACCCTGCATCAGGACCACACATAGCATGGCTGGAACCACTACACTGAAGCTTCCCAAACTTTCTTCAGTACAAGAGCAATGGTTGAACTTCCCTTCTTTAGGTCAAAGCACAACCTCAGTGACAGACAGAGATTTCTTGCTGTCACCACCATTGTTGTAACAGCAAAGCCCTCAATAAACTGGTATTGCTCTCAACAACAACAAAATAATTAAAAATAAAGGCTATAGAGTATGCAATTCTGTTCAGAGGAAGCACTGAATGGGAAAAAAAAAATAGAGTTATATACATACGCATTGTTTCCCTCACTGAACATACACATATAAAAACACATAAGGAAACACCTTTTGTCTTAGTGCTTTCTACCAGCACCTACACTATGTGATATTATTATTTACTGTTCCTTTGTCATCTTCTAAGATTTGGCTTCTCATATTCAGCACACCAGCCTAGCAGGGGAAGAGCCACTCTCATGCCTCACTGCTGCAATTCCCAGTAAAAGAAGCAAAACATGAACTACTTAAAAAACAACGCAGAGTCAATGTGGCTCATTATATGTAGTAAAACTTCAGAGATTATTTGCTTTGTTGTGGGCATTGATATAATAACATCATGGGGTACATATATCTATTTCAGGGAAAGCAGCCTCTCTGGTAACATCCTAACAGAAGATTTGGGAGTGCAATCATTGACAAGAATAGTATGGGAACTATTTGGTGAGAGAAAGGAGTGTTACTTGCACAGTCTAACATGGTGAGACAACACTGAGTTTTATGCCAAGTCAATGACATATGCTTAATGATTTCTGTGTCAAAGTGTCTTACTGCTGATGTGGGGACCTGCATATGTTTGCTCATCTCAGCAGCTCTGCTCTGAAGAGTGGAAAATGAATACAGGCTTCCACTTCTAAGGGCTGGACCAAGTGGCATTACTAAGCAGAGCCCTACGCTTACTGCTACAAACTTGACAGTGAGCTGTTGCAGGTGATTCAGATGTGGAGCATCTGGGGCAGAACAAGAGTTCGATGAATTCCTGTTGTTTGTTTCAGTTGTCAAGGACCTGTAAGTCCTGTTACTCCCTTGGAGTAGTATACTCCCTTGCTTAAATACAACAGAGCTCCTGACAGGGAAGTCGGCTGTTGTCTTCTTTTCACAGAATTCCTCGGCATCCCAACAGACAGCTAGTTCTCCTCTTAACAGATGTGTATCGAGGGGACTGAACCTCTTTTGGAAGCTCTCTATGGAGTGCAAGACTTTGCTCCAACAACTAAAATGTACCATTAAAAAAAAATTGAAAAAAAGAATCTATACTGTATCTGTAAAATTGTGAAGGATCTTGAGGTTCCTCTCATGCTCTCTTCCTTCCTTGAGCAGCATATAAACAAGACGAGGCCAAAGCCAAGGGCTCTTCTGTCGCTGTTGAATTAGTTCACTCATCCTAGGGGCACAATAATTGCATCATGTAACATTTCTTGACCAAAAAAACGGAACTTACAGCACACTTTCAAGAACCAAAAAAAAGTTATACCTCCGCCAATGAAGCAAAACTTAACATATTGTGTAGGTTTAAATCCATTCATCTGAAGGGAAGGCCGTTCATATTTGTTTCCTGATTTTAAACTACCTCAAAATTTCTGTCACCTGTTCCAGCATCACCATGCTTTATTTAGATCTTTAACCAATCATCTCTGAGAAGGAGAGCATATACTCATTTAGTGGGAATCCTCTTAATACAGACATATTAAGTCATCCAGTCCAGTCCCATCCCCCATGAGTAAAGCATTGACCATGCTGAAAATACATGTACATCCTGAAAAGACTGCTCATACCAGGGTTCCAAAATATCTGCCCCATGTCCTCTAACAGCCATCTGAAAGCATTACATTCTGGCTTCACTGTCCAGATACCATACATGCCAGACAGCACATGGAAAGTATTTCAGATAAAGAATGTGAGACTTCAAGTATGCTCAAACACAACTGGAGTACATTTGGACTGGCTGATTGTCATTGCTATTCAGCTCTTACACTTGCTTTTGGCTGCAGAAATAGACTTTGAGGAGTAATTGTTACACTTAGGCCAACTTATGGCCCACTTGCATTACCGTTTGAGAAACACCAAGGAACTGATGACAATCAAACCCTCTAATTCCACCCCTTTTTTTGTAACACACCTGTCTCAGCAAGCCCCACCAAAGGCTAGGGGTGAGATGCCACGAGCAGCTACATCTCATCTAGGCTGACACACCAGTGTGGTAGGAATATAGACTGTGCTTTTCCTAATCTTGAGCTATGCTCAAGCACATGGAGGACAGGGAGGAGATATGAGACAGCCAGCAAGGCGTCACCAAGGGCAAGTCCTGCCTGACCAACCTAGTGGCTTTCTATGAAGGAGTGACTGCATCAGTGGACAAGGAAAAACTAACAGATGTCATCTATTTGGACTTCTGTAATACCTTCAACACGGTCCCCCACAACATCCTTCTCTCTAAATTG